CTGTAAAACATGACAGGTGCAAAGACTGAAACCCAGGTGCATGTACTACAAATATACAGAAAATGACAAAAAATGAGTGGCTAATTAGGCAATTAAATGCAATTCTAGAATGCCATAATTTTTCCCCACCATATTTTTGCTGTAACTTTTCACACATTTTTATGTATTTTTCTATAATTTACCATGATAATTTATCTCCCACAATGCACTAATAAATGCTTAGTAGCATCTGATTTTTTCTCATCAACATTTATTATTTTTATGTATTTTTCTATAATTTCTTAATTAATTTTGAACAACATGAACATAATTTCCCACAGGCTACAGGTCAAGCTTTGGAAAAATTAGAGACAAAATGACACCATTTTTTTGTGTTGATGTTTTAAACTTTTCACCACTTCCTTGCCCAAATTTTTCTGCACTTTTTCTTATATTCTTCAATATTTCTGGAAATGAATTCAATTCTGAGCCAATTTTCACTTTTTACTCAAAAAATTTGGCTATTTTTGTCCCAGACAAGTGCAGACTATAAAACAGGATTATTTTGTGAATTTGTGATGAAAAGAGGGAACTGATGGTGGAAAGGTCAAGTGATGAAAGTTGTGCTCACCAATCCTTGGTATTTGAATGAATCGTAGACACTGCGCAGTAATAACCAAAACGGCCAGAGATACTCAAAACGGAATTCCAAGATGAAGTCTGCCAATAAAACCAGCGCCCATATCATAAGAAATTTGAGATAAAGAAAGGTACTGTAAGAGAAAAGAAAAATCATTAATAATTTATCCATGTTGAACTCAACCAGCTCTTTCAGTGCTGTATGGACCAAGCTGAGTAGTCTCTACATCTGAAAGGAGACAAGCAAGCTAAGTTAGTTGACTGTTGACAAGATCCCCGATGGCAGGTCCACCCCACTTACTTTCCCAAATGCTAGGCATAAGGTAGCAATTTGCAGCTGAATCTCCTACTTAGTTTTCTTTAGTAAGTATATCGTTAAATCTGATAGCAAAAAAGTCAAGATGCATTATATAAATGTGTATCCAAATCCATCTTCGAGTACGACATTTTTGTTGAAATATTTTGCACTTTTATGTGCATTTTCAATAATTTCTGCCCAAAAAGACAATTTACATTACCTACATAGAAAAATATATATAGATTTATTTTGAGAAAATGACAATTAATTCTAGACTTCACAGCTGTAGTTAAACCATTTGAACCCTAATTTGTCAAAACAATTTTTACAAAATATAACGGCATCATTTTTCCCATATTTCTCCAAAAATGTGAAATTATGTCATTTGCATGTATGATTGACATTTTATAAAGAAATTATGAAAACATACATCAAATTAAGCAAAATGTTCCAATAAAAATGTTACTAGTGAAATCAAAGGGTTAAAGTATATGTAAAGCCCTCGTTTCTTTCGTGAGATTCTCAGTAAAATCAAAAAATATTTTGATGCCAAATTTGCTAGAAAGGAAGGAAGGAGGAAGTGTAAGTGTGAGCTGAATGATCATCAGGAAGTCATCAGTGTTTCGATTTGAGAGACCTTCCGATAAATATGTCTACTTCTATTACTATTAGAGATGTGCTGCTAATAAAACAAATACAGTAGCACTGTCTGTCTTTTTCCTTTCAAAAATAACTCAATTTGAAGTAAACACCCAACACTATTATGAGAAGTTAATTAGCAAATATATGTGTTAGCTAAAATAGCAAATATACGTGTCAGTTAATTTAGCAAATATACGTGTCGGCTAAATTAGCAAATATATGTGTTAGCTAGATTTGCAAATATACGTGTCACCTAAAATACCAAATATACATATCAGCTAAATTAGCAAATATATATGTGTTAGCTAAATTAGCAAATATACGTGTCAGCTAAATTAGCAAATATACGTGTCAGCTGAATTAGCAAATATACGTGTCAGCTAAATTAGCAAATATACGTGTTGGCTAAATTAGCAAATATACGTGTCAGCTAAATTAGCAAATATACATGTCAGCTAAATTAACAAATATACGAGTCAGCTAAATTAACAAATATTTATGTCAGCTAAATTAGCAAATATACGTGTCAGCTAAATTAGCAAATATACGAGTCAGCAAAATTATCAAATATACGTGTCAGCTGAATTGGTATATATACGTGTCAGCTAAATTAGCAAATATACGTATCAGCTAAATTAGCAAATATACATATCAGCTAAATTAGCAAATATACATATCAGCTAAATTAGCAAATATACGTGTCAGCTAAAATACCAAATATACATATCAGCTAAATTAGCAAATATATATGTGTTAGCTAAATTAGCATATATACATGTCAGCTAAATTAGTGTGCTATTTAAATTTATGAAAATAACATAATGTGCAAGCCAAAAAGACACATTTGTGAGTGTGAAAGACAGACACTGAGATACAGTCTCATTTCAGCTAATCAGATTTTTACAATGGTAAAGGTGTGCAAGACACTCTAAAGTTACACAAAGAAGAATCAAATTACATTACAAGCTTTGTTGAGGTGAACCATTCAAGTGTCAGGGGTTGTCAGGTGGTTAACATGTTATTGAGATATTTAAGATAAAGCACAGTTGTTTTGGGGACATTTCGTCAAATCATCTAATGATAAAAATTTATAACGCCAAAAATTAACTTTCAAATAATTCATCACAGTTCAAAAAAGTTCATTGACAGCATTTGTATTCTTTTTTTGTGTAGCCATCACAATTTATGTAAGCAGTTTTATGCCAAACAAGCAGCCTCTCGACTGAGATAGCTCCGCTGTTAGCAATGCAGTTTTATGTCAAACAAGCAGCCTCTCGACTGAGATAGCTCCGCTGTTAGCAATGCACATTTCAATTAAAGAACAGAAGATATCATTAGACAAGTCATTGTCAATGACACGTCCCCGTTCCGTTCATATTTGAGTGACATATACATTCAAAGCAGATCATGACCGAAATGCACCTGCATATGTACAACACATTGTACTAAATCTGAACAAAATCCATCCATGCATGACTGAGATCCGGTTCCGGAATTGTGAAAATACGTGATTTTGATGCATTTTCGGCCTTAAAATGGCCATCATTCAGCTATTGTTAAGCGGATCATGAAACAAATGCACATATCTTGTGACATGATGTACCTTGTGTGTGTGAAGTTTGAACTTGATCAATCCAGACATATCTCGGATATGGATCCAGAACTGAATTCTTTAAAACAAAATGGCCGCCAGTTGGCCATTTCAAACCCGACCCAAAAAAAAAAAATGACGTGCATCAAGGTCCTATTATGTTTAATGTATGTACCAAATTTGAATGAAATCCGTCCATGCATAACTGAGATCCGGGTCTGGAATGGTGAAAATGTGTGATTTTGATGCATTTTCGGCCTTAAAATGGCCGCTATTCGGCTATCGTTAATCGGATCATGAAAAAAATGCATGTGCA